GGATCCGAACCTGTGGCCTTGGTGTTATCAGCACCACACTCTCCCAACTGAGCCATGGGCCAGCCCTGCAATTGCGTCTTTTCAACATTTAGCAAGACACTATGCTAATTCCTGGATGTGTTTTGCAGACATTCTATCGTCCCATCTCTGTAAAGCAGGAATCATATTTCTAGGGTTTCCTTTTCTTCCTGCACTAGGTCAGACCAGCTCAGGTTTCTGAGTGGATACAACAAAAGAGAAGCATAAAGCAGTGTTTTCTTTTAGACAGATCTTCTTACTGAATCATTCCCTCCTTTTCTGTCCTGGTTGACTCAGTGGATAGTATGAAATTTCCATCAACTGTTCTCTGAATCAAAATATTAGGTAGGGTGTAAAATAGCATTCATTTATTGAATCAATCTTATATAAATTTTATATATGTAATTTTATTTAATCTAATAGCTACCCCCATGAAGCATTTCCCTGTTTTTACAGAAGAAAACATTGAGACCTTCTTATCAGGTACCTTCTTGAGATGCTAAAACTAGTGAGTGGTTGAACCTGGATGTGCACCCAGGCCTGTCTGACTCCCTAGATAGTGATTTTCTCCATGAGACTACTTTGCTTTCCAGAGAAGACGACAGTACTGTCAGTCATCCTGATGGTGTATCTTACATCACACCAAAGCTCATATGCTCGAACATTTTGGAAGCATATGCAACATTCTATAACTCAATGTAAACTAGTTAGCATGTCAGATAAGTAATGATAAGATGGAGCCTGAATTGATTGAAAGTCCAAAATGGAAAGAAAATAAAGAAAACGCATCTCTCTGCCCCTCAAGAATATTGACTATTGGGAGAGAGGAAAGACTAATGAAGAAAAAGGAGGAAGAGAAAGAAGAGAAGGAAGAAAAGTGAGAGAAGAGGAAATTTCGGCCAGATTAAAAAAAGAGAACTCAAAACAGGAATCATTCCTCCAAGGTCATCCATCTCAAGTTATAAAATTAGCACATAGGGAGAAAAAATATATATAGCTCGATTTATCCAGAAAAGAAAAAAAAAA